CCCCAAAACCCCAAAACCCCAAAACCCCGTTTTTTATAATTTGATCAATTTTTGCAAAATTAAATGATTTAAATAAAATATTCTTATAAATATACTCATTATGAAAATTACATTCTCAAAGCATCAGAATTGCTTGTGCCTATCAAGAATCCGCAATTCTCATGATTATCTCTGCTTTCAACATCGTAGTTATTTAAATATTTATTAGCGTTTAAGCTCAATTAAGGTCCTTCCAAGAGCATATCTTGATATTTAGTTATAGCTGTTTCACATGCTAATCTTATAATATCTCTTTTAACATCATAAATATAAATCTAATTTGGCCTCATCAGCAAGTAAATATCACTCATACTCCCACTTCCCATTAATAAATTATTGCTATCATAAATTGTTCTATTATTTGCAGGTATAATTTTATATTAACCTCCGATATTAACCTTTGAGAATAAATTATCTAGTAATGATTTATTAGTATCAAAGATATGGTTATTTTTATGTTCTTAATTGCTAGAAAGAAAATCGAAATGTTTAATACTGCCTAGCCCAGTCATTGTGATAATCTTAACATTGCTGTAAAAATCAAAATCAACAATCTCATTCTCAATCTCAATTGACCTGCGAAAGTTTTACAGTTTAAATTTATCCATACATTCCTTAACTACAAAGTGTTCAATATTATTTACTTGCTTTTTAGTTTGATTATTCTAATCTAAAGATTGTTGTATCATGTTTTTTATATCAATTTATTGCTTTGTCTGATACTTTAACTCCTCCTTCTATTTTCTCTTATTTCCATCTTGAAGATATTATTTCTTCATTTGAACGAGTTATTCCTTCATATGTATATCAATAATTTTTTCAGCTTCCCTCTTTGCTTCATCCTTATAGTACTGCTCATTATAAATATTTATGCAACCAGTCATATTTCTAACATCATATAATTCTAAACTGCCCTCAACTGTGAGCACACCTAAATAATTAGTATTATCTGGATAAAACTTGGTCTTTTTAGCTTGGATATCTCTCAATTGAAGTACTTTCTCACCCTCACGCATATCAAACAAAGCTATTCCTCCATTTAATCCTAGAGAGACACTAAATAGATTATGATTGTTGTATTGCTAAGGCAAACTCAAATGATGTATTGAGGCATTTTAACATAAATCAAAACTCAAAGAAGGGGAACAATAATTATCCTGAGGGTTTAATTAATTTAGATCAAAGTAATGTAGCTTTCCTCTACTATCTCCTGCAAATAGCAACCCTGCATCTATATTATGGAACATAGCATAGGTTATATCTGGATTAGAGTTCTTATTCCCACTACTGCTAGAATTTGTTGACTGCATATTTACAATGTCATTACTGCTATCTAGCAGATGGATAGCTAGCCTGACGTTTGGCTTGAGTACTTTTGAGCGTATCAAGGGGTTATTATTCTCACCGATAGACATGATATCTAAGCTTAGATTATCTCGGTTGTACAAATTTATGAATTTTGAGGTTTAAACAGAATAGATCTAAGAGTCATTAGATTTAGACATACTTTAAATGCACCTGTTGTAAATTCCTTCTATTTCAAATGTGGGATCAAGTAAGCAAAAACTTTTGTCAAAAAGCTGATTTTAAGTTTCTTGTTAAACATCTTTATAGGATGAGAACCCTTTTTGGAGTTTCTTTAGATTATACAAGAAATTTTTTGGCTTAACTTGACTGATATAACTTTTTGATTCCATCAGAAAATTAATTGATTATAAACAATATACCTTGAATTTTCTATATTTTAAGCTATTGGGGTTTTGGGGTTTTGGGG